TAGGGCTACGCCGTCTGCTTGGAAGAGAGAAGGTCGTTCTTTCAAGCCCACGGCATGCCAAAACTACAGCCGCCACGCTAAAATCTCGCACATGACTCACCGGAAGACATGGGGAATGCACGGTAAGAAGGCTCTGACAGAATCCTCTGGCTAGTCAAGCGGTCAAGCGGGAGGAACCCCGACATTTCGCAGATGCCCGAAGCGAAATCAGCATGAACCTTATTTCGGCGCTCATGCAGCATACGTTCGGGTGCAAAAATCCTCTTGCGTTGTTCAGCATCGGTGGTTCTGGGATTGAAAGCATTTGCAGTTTTTCTCAACATGCCCGGTGTTATCGTCATTCATGCAATTTCAGCGATGCAGGCAGCGTAGACAACCAGGGGCAGGTTCGCAGGTAAAGGATGCTGGTCAACCCGAAATCAGGCACGTGCGTTGGCTATAGTTTACCCCAGAAAGTTGGAAACCTATATGGGTTCCGTTAAGGGAGGCTTTAAGAGATCTGTAAGGGTTCCTTTATGGTAAACAAAAAGGTTGGAAACCGGATTAAGGACAATTCGCGCTGGAGTTTCCCTATACATTACGCTGAAGGGTTGGGGCTGTTGGGTTTCCAACTTTTGGGCTTCTTCTGTGAGTGCCTTGGGTCCTCCAACGCAGCACTTCCTCCCTTCAAGACCTTCGGACATGGAGGCCTTGGGAGATTTCAGATGTAGGATCTGAGGGCTTAGTGATGTTTAGGGTCTAGGGTGGTTTACAGCGGGTTAAGGGTTTAGGATGGTTTAGAGTGTAGTAGAAGTATGCAAAATGACTGTATGTTGACGATTTCAAGTTTTGGCAGCTGTTGGTGTGAGACCCGTGCACATTGCAAAAACCACAGCAACCTACATAGGATCCCACCCTACGAACATGCTCTACACCCGAAACCGCCACACCCGAATCGCTTAACCCCTCAGCCCGAAACCAATGAAAACACAAAAAAAAAAAGAACATGGCCCTGACCCCGAAACCGGAAACCCGAACCGCTAAGGCCAACGAATTCCTCCACCGGTCCGAACTTCTCCAGCCGCTAAAACTACACTGCCCAGGATTTTTTCCTGTTTCGCCATCGTGGGTACCACCTAAACCCTAAACCCTAAACCCTAAACCCTAAACCCGATCAAGGATCTCCAACCTGTGGCCCTAAATCCCTCACTTGAGGCATATACCTCAGAATACCATGTAAATCATACTCGGGATCCCCGCTACGGTTTTTTTCTAGGTGTGTTCGACACTCTAAAGGTCCACGCTTTGTAGAAGAAGCCCCAAAATCAGGTAGCACCGAGGTTTGCGACCGCAGTTTTTGGGGCCAGGGTGACCCGGCAGAGAGATGATCAACCAGGAGCCCGAAACTCCAATACTACTAAACCCTGAACCCGAAACCCTAAACCCGACATCCTAAACCCGAAATCCTAAACCCTAAACCCGAAATCATAACCCTAAACCCGACATCCTAAACCCGAAATCCTAAACCCTAAACCCGAAATCAAAAACCCTAAACCCGAAATCATAAACCCTAAACTCGAAATCCTAAACCCGAAACCCGAAATCCTAAACCCTAAACCCGAAATCCTAAACCCTAAACTCGAAACCCTAAACCCGAAATCCTAAACCCTAAACTCGAAATCCTAAACCCTAAACCCGAAATCCTAATGTCCTACCACTCATGGCTGCTGCAAACTTCAGCTCACAGACGCTTGTTTCTTCGGGCCTGCGAGTGTTCACAGTGACGCTTCTTGCAATGCAGTTTTGCATGCAGTGGAACTGAGAAGGATTGCTGTGCTGGTCGCGCGGCTGCAGGCATGCAGCGAAGTCACTCACTAAACACTGCGGCTTGGGAGTCGCGAACCGACAAAGAGTCGGATGACACAAGCTGGCATTTGCAGGTAAGCGAGCAGAACCGCAAGACTGCTATGCCGAAGGAAAGAGGCGAGTGGAGGGGTGGAGGCGGCCCCCTTGAGAGCTCATGCATCCACGTCGTGTCGGACATGGACTGTCATGTCCTACCACTCATGGCTGCNNGAGCAGAACGGCAAGACTGCTATGCCAACTCCACCCAGCCCCAGTAAGGCGGTCAAGCTGTGTGAAGCTAGAAACTACGCTGCCACACGAAGGCGAGCCTTCAGGGCTCGCGCGCACAGTGCGATGACTGCGCCACTTGTGGCGGACACAACATTGCCCAGCACATGTGTGAAAGTTGAAACACCAAGTTGCTGGACGGGGCATGTGCCATCGGAAGGCACAGCCCACACAGGCGGCCGAAGTGCACTATCCATTTGAGCCAGCGCTTCTTCCAATAGCTCATCAAACACGGTGGTAAGCAGTGCGCTGCTATGCCGGACGGCAACACGTATGCAGAGAGCCAGCAGCTTGCTGAGCAGGAGGCCAAAGGCAGGCCTGAAGGTGAGCACACAACACCCCAAAGCCAGAGCGAGCTGTACCTTTCGTACTCTTGAGAGCTGCACCGCGCACCCGCAGCCACAGCAGCGGCTTCTGCGAGAGCTGGGATTGGGGTTCGGGAGTGGCCTACAGGGTACAGGGTCATCGTCCAGAACTGCCGGGGCAGCTCGAGGAGACTGGTGAGCAGTCAAGT